TCCCTGAATCCCTTCATAAATGTTACTTTGCTCACACTCCAACAGCACGTCAAGTATTAAAAACCATTTGTCTCCATTCACTCCTATCAAACACGCTCACGCATGCCTGCTGGAAGTCCATGTACACAGGTAAGTAGATACAACATGGGACGTCTCAGGACTTTAGTCCGTCTCCATCAATTCTTCTCGTTGGTTGGCAGGTGACCCAATCTGTCATTCCAAGAGTAGTGCTGGGAGCTGTGAGTCGAGTGATTACTGTTTGAACGGAGCCCCACACGTCACCTTTCGGGGGGGGGGGGATAGCAGGAGCTAGACTTATCCTACCTTAACAAGCAGCCGGCAATCAAACTATCACTTTTGGGGTGGGGGAAAAGGGGGGATAGCGGGAGCTAGACTTTCCCTACCTTAACAAGTAGCCGGCAATCAAACTATTGTTACCATATACTTGCTCGATACTCCTATCTGTTGAACTTTTCCCTCACAAACACAGACAACAATAAATACAAGAGAATGAGATGTGAAGAATAAAAATCTGCATCATTTTCAATGCATTTAGTGTGTGTAAAATTAGATGTGGATAATGACAATAAGAAATGCAATATCCTTAGATCATAAGATCAAGAAAAGGGAATAGCATATCACACTATCTCTTCTCAAAGATCACTTACTCACTCAAAACCAAATAAATACTGAATAACTGAACCTTATAAATTGTATATCCTATATGTTACTCACAATTATATCACACAAATGTTAAACCTAGGACCCAATCTAACTTTATTATTTTTTTAAATACACTACCTAACAGAATACTCCATTCGACTGAATGTACAGAAATGCAAGCAACCATATGACCTGTCTTTGTAATACTCATTTGTGCTTTATAGTAATCTGTTTACAATAATGTTTTATCACTGATTTCATCATTGCTTAGTTAATCTTAAGTTAATTTTAAGCCAGCCCGTAATGCTATGCATATAAGTGGCTTTGGCATGCTGCTCTTACCTGTACTTTTTGTACCTCTGTATGTATGCTTAAATAAATAAATAAATAAATAAAATAAAAAATGTGGAGCCACCATTTTGCAATGCAACAGCATTTGTAGTAGCATCTTATTGTGACTGGAAATGATTATGAAATGAGTGCAAATCCAAAGCAGAGAAGTGAGAGCCTGGGAATGGAAAGGGGAAAGGGATGACTCGAATCATAGATAATTTACACAATGTATGATAATTATACTTATGTGTACCTGTGCCTAAATAAACTTACTTAGGAGCTACAAGGGCTACAAGAATCAGTAAGGGGAAAATGAAAAAAGGAGACTGAAAGGTCATGAAGTGCAAAACACAATGGAGTCTTATGTCATTTCCTCAAGCCAGAGGAAGTGGCAAAGTCAACACTGAATATATATATAAAATGGTGGGATATGAGGAATCAAAGGTTTGCATTTCTTGCAGAGAACACTGAAAATAAGACTACAGTGGAACCTCGGTTTTCGTCATTAATTCGTTCCAGAAAGTCTGACGAAAACTGAATTCGACGAAAACTGAATTTGACGAAAACTGAATTCGACGAAAACTGAAGCAGCACTTCCCATAAGAAATAATGTAAATCCAATTTATCCATTCCAGACACCCAAAAGTATTAACAAAAAATACATTTTATGGAGAATAACTATAGTTTTACATACAGAAAACAATGAGAAATAAATATAAAAGACTAATGAAATGGATAAATGAACATTTAATATCAATTTTACCTTTGTTGAAGACACTTGTTGGGATATGAAAGACACAAGGAGGGGAGAGGGAGGAGGAGAGGTTACTGGTTGGAAAGGGACTCCCCCACCATTAGGACTTCAGGTATTAAGTCCCCATACCTTTGATATACCTTTGAAGAATTTTGAGAGTATATCTACTCTCTGAGCCCGGCCGTGGGCCAGGCTCATTTGGTGCTCGCCTGGTCAACCAGGCTGTTGCTGCTGGAGGCCCGCTGCCCCCACATAGCCATCACAGCCTGATCCGGGGTTACTTCCCTTCTTTGTCTTTTACTAGCACTGGACCCCTGTCACACAAAAAAATCTGTCTTGAGAGGTCTGTTTTTGGCATCTCTTTAAGATTTGCCTAAAATGGGACAAGGCATTGTCATTGAACATGTTGCAGACACAGCTTGCAACAGCTTTGTTAGGTTGATACTTCACAAAACTTTGCAACTCACTCCACTTTGCACACGCGTCCTTAATCACTGAAGAAGGCACATTCTCCCCTCTCTCTTCCTCTGAAGCAATTTCCTCAGCTGTGATCTGTTGCTGTTCCAGTTGAAGGTGCTGCAGCTCTTCAGTGGTTAGCTCTTCCCTGTGGTCAACCACCAACTGTTCCACATCCTGGCCACTCACATCCAACCCCATGGACTTCCCCAAAGCCACAATAGATTCCACAACAGGCATAGGGTTGTCAGGGTCAGCCTCAAACCTTTCAAAATCCTTCTCTTGGACACATTCTGGCCACAATTTCTCACCTTCTTTATTAAAGGGCTGGCACTCGGAACTTTCTTTGGCCCCATGGTGGCTTATTTAGCAGTCACACTCAATAAACAAGCACAAAAAACAATGAATTATTACAAAATGTTTCAGATGAACCCGCAGGGTAATGCTCACTCGACAAGAACCAAAACCAGACTGACTCAGAACGAGTGGGATGCTTTGTGTGAGTGCAGGCAGGCGGACACATTTGGTACAGCGGACTGACGAAAACAGAGGTGATGAACAAAAACTGGGACAAAATGTTGATGAAAAAAGTCGTCAAAAACCGAATTTGATGAAAACCAGGGCAAACTAAAACTGAGATTCCACTGCACAACAAATGACAAAGCAGAAATAACAACAATGAAAATGACAGCAGCCAGAAGAACATTCAACTCTGTTGTGAAAATACTAGCAGAATCAAACAGTAGGCTTCAGATTGAATGATTATATAAAATCAACTACATATCCCACTTGTCCAAGCATTTGGATTCATTGTTGTACACAGCAGTAGCAACAGTGACTAAAAATAATCATAGAAGCTCATCAAAGAAATGTTGAAAGCAACTATGATACAGTATGAGCAGCAACTAAGATTGCAGGTACAATGAATGTAATTTACACAAACCAAATAAAAGCAACCCTAACCTAATACAGTGGACCCCTGGTTAACGATATTTTTTCAATCCAGAAGTATGTTCAGGTGCCAGTACTGACCGAATTTGTTCCCATAAGGAATATTGTGAAGTAGATTAGTCCATTTCAGACCCCCAAACATACAAGTACAAACACACTTACATAAATACACTTACATAATTGGTCGCATTCGGAGGTGATCGTTATGCGGGGGTCCACTGTATACCCAACTTAGCACATTTTTTTTTTCACAACATTCTATAAGCATTACAAGAAAAAATTATGAAAATCACAAATTTTAGAATCTACATACAAAATATATCTATTCCGCTACAGAATATTTTATTATAATTATTTTTTTCAGAATCTCCCTAATGTGGGCAAGAAGTTAAAATTTTTTGCCATGCTTCTTTATTTATGTGAACTGAGAGAGATTGTTTGTTATATGATATATTCAACCTTTCAACCATGATTTATTTAATAATCCATCAAGCCTTAAAAAGAGCCATAAGCTGCATTTTTTATAATCACTGAATGCTTATTTCAGCAAATTTTGTTGATAAATTATAGTTTAAAATGTCCAAGATTAAGTGGGTTGTGCCACCAAGATAATTTTATATTGTCCAAATGTGAACAAATGATAAGTACAATGTAACCAAGAAGTTACAAAAAAAAAAAAAAAAAAAAAAAAAAAAAAAAAAAAAAAAAAAAGGCACAATACCTTTTCTGGAATACACAAATAACCCAAACATACCTAACCTAAGTGAATAACATAACCAACATAACATAACCTAAAATAACCTAACATAATGAAACATAGCCCAACAATCTAACAGAGCCTTACATAATCTTAAGTAACCTGACAACCTAATGTAACCTAACTTAGCCTAATGTGAATAATAATAAGATATTACAAGGACCCCAATGGAAATAAGTTACTTTGACTTTTCTTGGTTATCCTGGGTAATTTACATGTTACTATGGATGATAATTGTACTTATATGTACCTGTACCTAAATAAACTTAATTTAATTATATTTATGGGACGAGTTAAACCCACTGGAGTCATATAGTGACTAAGTAAAAATAAAAAAACAGACGAGCTACATTAAACTGATAAAACGTATATACGTACTAAGGTAAAGTTATATGATCTTATGCCCCTCAAGGAAGGTTCCTTGATGTTGGTGAGGGGCTCTTGATTTAGGGAATTGGATCTGTGCTCCAGTTCCCCGAATTAAGCCTGAATGCCTTCCACATCCCCCCCCCCCCAGGCGCTGTATAATCCTCCGGGTTTAGCGCTTCCCCCTTGATTATAATAATAATATGATCTTATGACAGTCATGGGGAATGGAAGGTAATGAGGTTTGATTGAAAAGAAATAGGTCATATATACGTATGTGCGAGTGCCTACATGTGCACCCTGACAACCTTAGTGAAAAATGTTATATATGACACGCCTAGATAAAAAAAAAAGTGAACAAACAGTCACAGGGAAAAAAGTTAGGAAAAGTAACAAAAAAAAAAAGTTTGGTTAGTTAGGCTAGATTGTTTGAATGTGTTCAGTAAAGTCAGGTTAGGTTTACCGATAGTATGTCTAACTTCAAGAAAATTTTACTTTCTTTTTTTAACGGGATTCATTAAAAACTTTCTCCAATTACTTGACACAAGAAAAATTTACCGCAATCAAGGTATTCTACTGAAATTTAAAATGATTATATTAATGATGGGGGAATACTAAACTCTTAGCTCCTGGGGAAGAGGGGGATGGGAGACAATCAGGTCCAATTCCATGGATCAAGAGCCCTTCACCGGAGTCTCAACCTGTGGGTCAGCATCTTACCTCTGTCTTAAATCGGCAGATTTTACTTTAACCAACCAGATGACGAGCAAACTACCAATAATATACGGCAAGTTGGTGGTAATCCAATTTGCTATCAGGTAGTCTACCTCAGCCATGTCAATAAAATATATTGTGGGTCCTATGCCCCCGTCACTTGAAATAATAAAAACTTCCCTGCAGTAACTACACCACCTTCAAGTACTTAACACCGTGTGGCCACAGTTTACAAGATAACGAACACTGCGATATCATTGAAAGTCTAAAATATATACTGTAAAAAAAATTAAAATATATAATTCTGGTGAGGTGAGAGCTTGCAGCAGCGTGAGGTGCTGGACCACACCAGCTGGACGGTGTCTGCCGGGGATGATCCTCAAACTGGCTCTTAATTATCGTTTTAGTATTTGTATATGTAGTGATATTTTGTTTTATATATGTTTTTAGAACGTCGTTAGTATTGTTATTTCTTTGGGTATTTATTTGAATTTCTTTGTTTCATTTGTTGCGGTGTTTTGAGGAAAATGCCTGGAATGCCTGACGGGTACCAACAAAGCTAGCAAATACACGAATTTTGAGTGACAATTTCGCCAAGAAACTAGCCACTTCGGTGGCAAAATCTAAAAATCCATATACTGTTCATATTATATGGCTACATGTAAGTGTAGGTAACTTTTACATAACTGTGTATCCTAGTTTGTATTTTTTGTTGTCTAATTTGTGTCTGACTGGCTTGGTGTACCTGGTATCTTGATATACATGTGGATCATTTATGAAGACAGTTGTACTGTGGTCGCTAAATCTTATACTTTTTAATATTTATTCAATCATTACATCTAATATAGAAATATAGTCTTTTGTAATAAATTGTATTTGTATCAGAACTGTAACCAACTAAATTACAAGTCATTGTAACTTCTATGTTAGTTTCTAAGGAAAAAAGACTTATTTTAATGATAGTGAGAACTAGAGGTAGCTATGTTTTCCCTGTCTTAACTAGTGGCGGATATATGACCATAGAACATGGTGAGGAAAGAAAGGGACACTGGTGAAGAGTAGAAAAAAATTAAAGATGTTAGGTAAGAAGATAACATATTAGTGGCCTATCCACTTTGATTTCTAAGGTAGAGTATAGAAAGGTATACATTTATTAGTCCCCTCAAGGAAGGTTCCTTGATGTTGGTGAGGGGCTCTTGATTTAGGGAATTGGATCTGTGCTCCAGTTCCCCGAATTAAGCCTGAATGCCTTCCACATCCCCCCCCCCAGGCGCTGTATAATCCTCCGGGTTTAGCGCTTCCCCCTTGATTATAATAATAATAATACATTTATTAGTATATGAGAGCACTGGCAGAATAAAAAAAAATAATTTAAAAGTACTGAGTTTTGTAAAATCGCTACACATTATACAGCAATACAAATACACGCAAGGGCAAGTTTTTCTCATAAAAAAAATATAAAATATATACCTTTTCATTCCGGATGACGAAAATAGTCATGCACATTGTTCTGCAGTTCTAAGATGGAACAAGCTGCAACATGGTTTGAACAAAGGCAAATTAATTAATGACCATCTACAACAACATATTAGAATATCATTTTTGAATGTATCACTGCGACAGTTCAGAAGATTTTTACTCAGCAGAACTTGTCTTTTCGAGGTCATCGTGAATCTTTCGCCAAATACTTCAACAAAGCCAGGAAAAATTCTGGCTTTATTGAAGTATCTGTCAAAAATTTATCCTGTTTTAAGAGAACATATGCATTCGATTTCTGGAAAATCTGGTTGTCATACTTTTCATCAGAAATTCAATGTTTGATTACTTTGTAGAGATCATGAGTCCGTGAGACCTGTGGAAAATTGCATTTACTTGGATGTATCATTATATACATAACAGTAAATGAACATAGATAATTATTATTTATCAGTTAGACAAGTAGGAATTTAGGACACCTAGGTCGCAAAAAATGTTCCCCTTCGATACCTACCACTGTCATATCCACAAGTTGCTCTGGACCTATTAATTAAATGAAATATACATCACCAGGAATGCTGGTAAATATATAAATTTGTGGACTGTATATTAAATTAAAAAAATGATTATATATAAACACATTTACATAACAGAAGGAAAATATCTTAATCATAACACTCACCAATTTGACTGGAGATTAATATGTCATGTACAGGACCCCCCGTTTTGCCTACATTTATGAAGAATTTACTGGCCAGAAATTAAACATAATTTAGACAGCTTATCTGAGGTTCCTGGAGTTGTCCTGTCCTGTCGCCTGATTCTCAAATTATGCAGGAATGCACATCCAACAATTTCGCCTCCTATTTGAGAGATTTCAGCCCGATTTTAACCTCTAGAGCACGAAAAATTCTTCCCATTATTCACGACGTGTTATTCAATTCAAACAAAATGGCGATTCTCCATCTTTTAAAAATACGCTTTTATTAAATACAATATAGGGCATCTATTTACCTATAAATTACCGTATTTCCGGAAAATGTACAGTATTTTCCACAAGACCATTATTTCATCAGTTGAGATGGCCAAGTTTTGTAGTATTATATATGATATGATTATCAAATATTATAATTATAACCATAATTTTTAAAGGGAATGGTAAGCCAGCGGAAGGCCTCAGTCATATGATCAAAAGCTTCGGCTGAGGGTCATCACATGACTAAGACCCGCGTCAGGAAACACTTGTCATGTTTCCTGAGAAACCTCACCTAACCTAACCTATGATAAGCTTCCAGAAAATTCAGCGTGACTAAAAATCAAGGAAGCTTCTATTGTGGAGGCTGTGACAAGATCTACGTAGGTGAAACAGCAAGAAACCTCGACACCCGCCTCAATGAACACATATACGCATGTAGGAACGACAACTTAAACAACGCCTGTGTACAACACCGAAATTCCACAAATCATCTTATGAAATTCAGAGACGCCCAATTAGTGATAAAAGAAACTAATTTCCGCACACGCAAGTGCCTTGAATCAGCACTGATCGCTGTTTCGAATACAATTAAACAAAACAACGGCAGCTTCACCATCTCCGAAGTCTTAGCAAGAATCCTCCTGAAAACAGTAAACCCTGCCATCACATAGTCTCTCCTGTTATACTAACACAAAGCACAGAGAGTGAACACTGAAACAAGCTGCCTCATTCCAGTTTATATTTGTCCAACCTATTTTTATGTTACCCAAGTAATAGCTTTTATATCCTTTTACTCATGTACGAATTAATTGCTCTACCATATTGTATTACTTTTGTCACTACCACTACTACTACTACCACTAGTGAACATCGAAATGGTACCTCACTAGTATTCACCTCACTCTGAGCCTTTATATACCCTCTGTGTCCATATATTGTTTGTAATGGCTTGATAAAGCTCCTGGAGAGCGAAACGTTGCCACAATGTCACATTAGTTGCACTTGTGTCCTTTTACTTTACATATTGTCGGTAATTCTACCAACTTTATTACAAGCTTCTATTGACTTCGTTCCCTTGATATGAAAATAATCATGCGAATCAGTGAGGAAAGAACAAAAAAAAGCAAGTTGGGCTGAATTTAAGACTATAAAGGATAACCGTGTCATAATCATGCAACAGTGGCTAGTGTTCATTCGGATGTTCAGAAGAGAATTTTTCATCAGAATTCCCCTCAAGGGAGGTTCCTTGATGCTGGTGAGGGGCTCTTGATCTAGGGAATTGGATCTGTGCTCCAGTTCCCTGTATTGAGCCTGAATGCCTTCTATGCCCCCCACATGTGCTCAATAATTCTATGGGTTTAGCGCTCCCCCATGACTATAATATTAATAATTCTTTGACAATTTTTGTCCCCTTCAACAACCACTCATATAGTTTGGTTAGAGTTTACGCTGTTCATGTGAATGTCCAGGCAGTGATTTTTTTGTTTTTTTTTTTTTGGTTCTGGGGGACGTCTGTTTTTTTTTTTTTTATATGTTCAACTCACCGATGGAGTGTCCTGAAAGATAATATTACAGTGAAGAGCCATTCTGACACTAAATGGATCTCTAAGACCCTTGCAACAAATAACATGGCAAGGCACCTTGAAAAAAGTAATTGCTACTTTTGATAAGCTGTGATGCTCAGTTTAATACACTTTGATACAAGTGAATTTTCAGCTAATAATAATCTATTACTACAAGTACATGTACAAGGTATAATACAGGCCTAGCTGACAGCAATGATATACCACTGTATAAAAAACCTCTTGTAATGCACATTATTATTATAATCACGGGGGAGCGCTAAATCCGTAGAATTATACAGCGCCTGTGGGGATGGGATGGAAGGTATTTAGGCTCAGTTCAGGGAACTGGAGCACAGATCCAGTTCCCTAGATCAAGAGCCCTCTCACCAACGTTAAGGAACCTCCCTTGAGGAGCTTCTTATGCACAACATTTCGGGCAAATTAGTCCCCGGGATATGACTCACATCAGTCAACTATCACTCAGGTACTTGTTTTACTGATGGGTGAATATGGACAGTAGGTGTCTTAAGCAAACACGTCCTAATGTTTTTTTCACCCGTACTAGGGATCGACCCCCAGGCCTGTGTGTGAGCTGAGTATGCTAACACTCGAGCATAAGCATAAGCATAATCATGGGGGAGCGCTAAACCCGTAGGATTATACAGCGCATGTGGGTGGGATGTAAGGTATTCAGACTCAATTCAGGGAACGGGAGCACATATCCAATTCCCTGGATCAAGAGCCCCTCACCAGCGTCAAGGAACGTCCCTTGAGGGGTGCTAACACTCGAGCTACGAGACACCTAAAATGTTAATGAAATTAATAAGTTTTAATTTACGGCTCTGCTGTTCTTCCGGTCACAAGTTTCCTTTTAGTGATCGGATTTAGAAATGTCGTCAGGCTAAAACTATAAATTTTAATTAAACCCTTAATCAAGCTGAATCTTGACTGGCCAGCCAAGTAACTGTTTAGCTAATGAATTTGCTGACGCTAATGAATTATGCAGTGAATGGGGTGTGTGAAGTAAATCGGCGAATTATGGAAAAAAAAAAAAACTGTCCATACCTGGTTAAGAGGCATTTGATGCGCGACTGACCACTCTGTTATCTAAGAGAAATTCTGGATAGATAAAATTGGTGTTTAATTTTCTGGTTATTGTTCACAAGTGAATGATTTTGTCTTTGTGGTGTTGACTTTTTGTTTGTAAATCAGACGGACCTTCAACAATAAGAGTAGCTTAGTGAACTCAGAGATAAACTTCTAATCTATCAAGGGAGTATTTAGAAGAACTGAATGAACTGGAGATTTATGACGACTACAAGGACATCGGTACATACTTTATGTCCCGTAGCTCGGTTGGTAGCGCACTCAGCTCACACACACCGAGGTCCGGGAGTCGATTCCCGGTACAGGTGGAAACATTAGGACGTGTTTCCTTAAAACACCTGCTGTCCACGTTCACTTATCGGTAAAATGGGCGTGGATTTTTTTTTATAATTTTACTGT